TCTTGCTAAAAATCATATTCCAAATAACAGTCCCACAATAATATCTTGTCAATTTCTTCAAGTTAATTACCGATTGGTTGCTGCATTCATTGTAAACATATCGAAGAAGGTGGTCAGCGTCTTCATCCCTTTTATGACTAAGCCATTGAAGAGATGTTGGTGAGAGCACATGAGAAGCAACGATTTTTCTCATTTTCATCCATTGATCACATATGGGGAGAAACATTAAAGTCAAGTATCCATTGCTAACGAGGTTCGCGGCATGCAAATAGGCCTCGAGGAGAAAATAGAGTCTTGATTCTTTAAGAACTCGCAAGCAAGCTCAGGAGAAGTTACTGGAATGACGTGGACATTACCAAGATGAATGCAAGCGATTTCAGTGTCCATTTCCTCCATAAGTTTGTGTATCACATGAGATGATGGCTTGCTATTAAGGAGCATTTGAGGAAGGCTGCCAATTATTGGCCATGGTTTTGGACCTGGAGGTAATGGCTTATTAGATTTCTTGTTTCTTACACTCCATTGCTCGTGAGCTTAAGGATAATAGAAGTGAATATTATCCAAGAAAAAGCATTAATAGAGATACAAAAAGTGCATATGAAAATGGAGACTACATAAAGTACAACAACAACGTTTGGCATTTTAGAGTATCTAATCATTTTGGGTTCATAGGCATGTATAGCATGCTATCCACTACTTATTTATACCTCTGCATGAGCTTAGGGGTCGTTTGATAGGAGTCAATATAGAAGATAATGCATGCATTAGCTTTTGGTATGACTAATCCTTTGTTTGGTATACTTTTTTAACATATATATTACTAATGAAAGTATTAGTTATACAACCTATTTGGTATTATCCTATGTATAACTAATACATAGCAAACCATGGTTGGTTTCGGCATCGGTTGTCGAATTTGAAGTTTCAAGTTCTTTAAGTTTGAATCGGAGGATGATTCGTGATTTTAGCGTTGTTTAGTGTGATTTGAGGGCTCGACTAAGTTTTTATGGTATTTTAGGATTGGTTGGTATTTTTGGTTGAGGTCCCGGGGGCCTCGGGTGTGTTTCAGGGTGAGTTTTGAGCGAGTACGTGCTTTTCGGCACTCTAATGTTGTTCTGGGGGTCTTTGGAAGTGCGGACCACACATTTTGGGAGTGCTGAGCAAAAAGGGAAGTGCGGACCTCAGGGTAATTGTGCGGACCGCAAAATTTTGTGTGCGGACGCACTTTAGGCCGCAGAGGAGTGTGCGGGCCGCAAAATTTTTTGTGCGGCGGCACTGGGGAATTCTCAAATTCGCTGGTCTGACTTCAGAAGCTTATATCTTTTGACGTACAAGGACTTTTGAGATGATTCAACAACGAAAGTTGTTGCCCTTCGTGTCTAGTTTTCAGAAAGATAAATAAGTCATCATTTGGACATCTGTAGAGAAAGTTATGGCCAAAATATTAAAGCCTGGCAGTGCAGTCACCAAGAGAGTGCGGCCGCACAATTTTTGTGCATCCGCAGGAGCTAGGATGTGCGGCCGCACTTGGAATTGTGCGGACTTCACATGGTGAGTTCAGAGAATGTACTATATAACCGAGGCTTAGGTTATTATTTCATTTTTGGACCTTGGGAGCTCGATTTGAGACGGTTTTTCATGGGGTTTTCAAGAAATTCACCGGGGTAAGTGATTCTAACTCGGATTTGGTTAATATACATGAATATATCACTGATTTCATCATTTAGTTAGTACTTTGAGATGGAAATTTGGGAAAATTTGTAGAAACTTCATAAACAACAAATTGAGGATTTGAAGGTCGAGTTGTGATCGGAATTGGCTAATTTTGGTATGGTTGAACTCGTGAGTGAATGAGTGTTCGTATTTTATGACTTTTACCCGATTTCGAGACGTGTTCCCGAGGAGGCTTTTTTGGCATTTTTCTAATTTCATGCTTTAACTTTGATTTCGTTAGCTAGATTAGTTTCTTGTAGCTATATTTAGGTTATATAACTGATTGGGCCACTCGCAGCCGGATATTCGTGCGAAAGGCATTTTGATTGATTGATTGAGCTTGGTTCGAGGTAAGTGGCTTGCCTAACCTTGTGTAGGGGAACTCCCCTTAGGATTTGGTACTATTTGATATGTGAGCGCCGTGTACGTGAAGTGACGAGTACGTACATGGGTTAATTGATGTATAAACCTGATTTTCACTAGGTAATAACCTGTTCTTCTTCTTATTTGAGTCATATCAGCATGTGTAGTATCCTTTAAGCTTATAATAGACTGTTTACTTGCCTTAATTGCTTATCTGAACTCTGTGCAGCATGTTTAGTGAAATTTCTTTTTTTCCTTGACTCGTACTTAGTCGAAATTGTAGGTTTTCTTGTTGTAGCTGTTATTTCCGTTGTTTGAGCTGCATATTTAATTTTGGACTACGGAACGGTATTCCAGTAGATCCCCCTGTTCTACATATTTATTTGGGACTACCGAACGGTATTCCGGTAGATCCCCCTGTTCTGCATATTTACTTTGGGACTACGGAACGGTATTCCGGTAGATCCCCCTATTTTGCATATTTACTTTGGGACTATGATGACGTCCAAATCCACTACTAAAAAGTAAATGGACACGGTCGCATGCAATATAATTTACCCAACTATGAGTCGGGGTCGAATCCCACAGAGAACAATATGTAGGCGATTAGGAATGTAAGAGAATTATCACTTGTTATGCAATGCCAAACACTTAGAATTGATTTGAGAAAATATTTATACCTAAATGTGGAAATGTAAACTAACATAGAAAGCAAGTAAAATGATCAATGGCTACAAGTATGGATACTTTCAGAATTACACTCAAGTAACGATCCAATGTATTTCATGATTTTACAAATATGAGCGAGTTTATGTTAATTAGCCACGGGTAATAATTCTATATTAGTTTCTTCCAAAGACTAATAAGACTTCCTAATTGAATTATCCCTAATACAATTAAGAGATTAAGCACCCCCGGATATGGCTATAAGTAGTTCAATCCTATCTCTAGGTAGAATCTATAAAATGAGGGTTAAAGCCTCAAGTTCTTGTTAATTAATCTTTCCCAACCCCAAATAATCTTTTCCAAAATTAATTCGGAGTTATTGGGCGAGTCCTAGGGTTAGCTAAAGCCTTTGGAAACATTAAAGAACAAGAAGAATTAAAGTAACAATAACTCACTTCATAAAGAATAAAAATCATTCAATACATAAGCACAACAAGGCATTTAATCCACACTTTAAATATGAATGTTTCCATAAATAAGATTCAAGTGTTGGATAAAATACTATACACTTAGATATACAATACAAAGCTAGGAAATGAAGAAATAAACATAAATGGGTAAGAAATTCTCAACCACAAGCTTCAAATCTTCAAGACCAAAGTGCGTGTGCAAACCCTAGCTTCCAAAGCTTGTTCTCTCTAGCCCTCAGACTGAAAATATGCCAAAAGATATGCCAAAGATATTTTACAAATGAGCTAGGTCGGGTATTAAATGGTTTGGGGCCAAAAAATATGAAATTCCAGAATTGTCTAGGTCTGCTGCTCGATTTTCGCATTTTCGAACATAAGTTCGCAATTGCGAACTATGGCTCTGCTGCTCCACTTCGCATTTGCGACAGATGCTTCGCATTTGCGAAGGTTGACTGCTAGCATTGACTTCGCATTTGCGAAGACTGCCTAAATGGTCTTCCTTCGCAATTCCCATGAATTCATCGCAATTACCATGACCGCAGGCTTCGCAATTCCCAGGATTTGTCGCAATTGCGACAACTGAGGGCATTGCCCAGATTTTCTTTCTTTTAGCTTCTTTTTGACTCGTTTCACTTGGTTTCTTCGACATCACTTCTACATCACATAGAACCTGTAATATAGAAGTAAATGGCATTAAACACGTGATTTTATCACTCAAACATAGCAAAAATATAGGCTTAAAGACAAGATAAGTTGGTAAAATACCAACTTATCAAACCCCCAAACTTAAACTATTGCTTGTCCTCAAGCAATGAAAGCGACAAAATCTCCTCCCAAGTATTTAACTCAACATTGCATCCTTATCATGCCAAGCCAAAAAGATCTACTATAAGCACAAATGCATTACTTCGATTGGTACCAACAATTAAACAAACGCATATGAATTGCCGAACACTTTTCATGAACTTCATTACATTTCAAGTGCTCAAGCACTATGCAAATCAAAGTAGCAAATCAAGTCATGACACTAAAGCTTCAAAATTTGCCTCTCTATCACAATTATCTCTCTTAGTTCATTCCTTCCAATTGAAAATGGGATTAAATTCACAACTCAAATCTCATGTGTTCTCACATTTAAGAGAGAATCCCACACTCATAAATCTTAATTCAAAACAAAAATGGGATATCAAATGGAAAGAATTCACTCTCTCTCACAAGTTTGGGGGTAGCTTCTTGTATAACTGTTATTCTTGTATAAATGTGGCTAACTGTGGAGATTGGTAGTTTGGTTATTTTTATTTTGTTGTTATTGTATTTTCATGTGATGTGTGATATTATTGTGTTTATTAGCTTCTTGATTTTGGTTATTAGCTTCTTAATTTTTTTTTTATATGGTATGTTTTATGTTAGTGGCGATATCCTTGGTTTTCTTTAATCATATTATTTACATTCTCAATGTTACAATTAGTTCTCTATTTAAATCAAAATCATATCATACTCTTGTTACAATTAACAGAATAGAATTACGACCCCAAGTAGAGTAGCACACAACTCGAGTAACCTTTTAACACCTATTCCCTGTGGGATTCGACCCCAACCTTGTTGGGTTATTATGTTTGATACCGACCGCCTTACACTACTTAATTAAAGTGTAGTTTGAGCGTATCAAATTTTGGCGTCGTTGCCGGGGAATACAATTTTGAAATTACTAATTAGTGTGTGTTTTACTTTACGTCTTATTCTATTCCATCACACTTTGCTTGTTTTGCTTGGTGTTGATAGGAAGACATGTCCGACTATGAGGAAGAAGTGGATGAAAATCCTTTTGCGGACATAGATGGGTACGTTGAGGATACAAATGCTATTGTACCTCCTGTTGTTGGTGCTTCAACTTTGAAAGTGGAACATGGTTTAATCCTAATGCTCAAAGCAGAGGGGTTTTTCAAGAATTCCACTGATGATGATCCGACACAACATCTCAGAAACTTCTTGGGTGTGTGTGCGATGCATAAGCAGAACAACGTCTCAGATGATGCCCTAAGGTTGAGGGTGTTCAAGTACTCCCTAACTGGGGATGCAAGGAAGTGGCTTCAAAACATGCCACCAAATTTCATTCATTCTTGGCCTGAACTTGTCCGAGTATTCTTAGCTAAATGGTTCCCGCAAAGCAAGAATTCTGATCTTCGGGATAAAATTTTCTTCTTCAAGCAACTACCGGGAGAACATCTACATGAAGCATGGGATCGATTCAAGTTATACTTGGTGAGGTCTCCCAATAATGGTTTTCCGGACTCTATCTTGTTGGAGAAATTCTACATGGGTTTAGATGCTATGAACCAATCTATAGCCAAGAATGCAGCTGATGGATCTTTTATGGACAAGACATTCGCAAGGATCACACAAATCCTTGACAAAATGGCACAACACAATCAAGCTTGGCATTCAGAGGACACCACCGGTGGAATTGCATACAGTTCTCCCTCCTTGACCAACATGATTAAGGAAAATCAAGAGAGAGATCAAGTAATCGCAGGGCTTGCCACTAATGTCAATGTGTTGACAAAGATGTTCACTGAAAGCCAAACGAAGAAGGTAAATGTGGTGGAGGATGCACAACCCATATAAAATGAAGACTTTGAGGAAGCAAACTACGTCAACAACTTTAAAGGAGGTTATCAAAGGCAACAATACCAAGGTCAAGGACAACAAAATCAATGGAGGCCTAACCCGCAATGGCAAGGCAACCAACAGTGGCGAAATGACCAAGGTAGCTCAAATCAAGGAAATTGGAATAACAACAACAACAACTTCTCAAATTGGAGTTCCAACCCTTATGTTCCACCAAAGGGTCAATATCCAAATCAAGGGTCCTCAAGTGATTCCATGTTGGAAAGCATGCTTGAACGTGTATTGCAAAATCAAGAGAGGTCCGACACTTCTATTAGACATATGACCGAGCTTGTGGGTTCTCATACCGCATCCATTAAAAAATTGGAGATGCAAATTAGAGACCTCTCTAGGGAACAAAATCCAAAGCAAAAGGGAACACTTCCTAGTGACACAATTGCGAACCCAAAGGGTAGTGGAAGTGGTCCAACTTCTCACATCATGGCAATTACTACTCGGAGTGGGAAGGTACTACAAGGAGAGAGTGAACAAGTGGTTGAAGTAGAAGAGTCTGAGCAAGAGGTTGAGATTGGAGAACCAAGGGTTGTTGAAGTTGAAAAGGTTCCGGAAGACTTGAAAGTTCAATAAGTGAATCGGGAAGAGGTAAAGGAAAAGGTAAAAGAGACACCAAAAGCTCTACCACCTATCCCTAGACCTCCTCCTCCTTTTCCTCAAAGACATGCAAGGAAGGTTGATGATAGCAAACTCGAAAAATTCTATGACATTCTCAAGCATTTATCGGTGAATATTCCATTAGTGGAAGCATTTCAAGAGATGCCGGGTTTTGCTAAATATTTGAAAGATTTGATTACCAAGAAGAGAACCACCAAGAATGAAGTGGTGAATGTGACTCACCGGGTTAGTTCCATCATTACAACATCCACTGTTCAAAAGAAAGAAGACCCTGGAGCTTTCACTATTCCATGTACTATTGGGGCACGTGATTTTGCAATAGCTCTTTTTGACAATGGGGCTAGCATTAACTTAATGCCTCTTGCTATTTACAAGCAAGCGGGATTAGGTATGCCGAGGCCTACAAGTATGAGGTTGCAAATGGCCGATCGTTCTATAAAGAGACCGGTGGGAATCGTTGGTGATGTGCTTGTGAAAGTGGGAGAGCTCCATCTACCCGCCAATTTCCTAATCCTTGATTGTGCAGTTGACAAAGAGATCCCTATCATCTTGGGGAGACCATTCCTTGCCACGGGAAGAGTACTAATGGATTCAGAAAGGAATGAGATCAAATTCCGTGTAAATGATGAAGAGGTAACATTCCAGGCAAGCAAGTGTATGAAACTACCATATGCATATGAAAGTATCTCGGTGATTGATGTTGTTGATGAAGTGGAAGATGCGATTGAAATGAAGATGGAAGAACAATGAAGGCGTTGGCGGCTATTTTGGTAAACTTTGATGGTGAAGATATGGAGGGGTATATGTAATCAGTCAATGCATTGGAAGGGCTTGGGTCCTACACCTATTCTCCGAAGAAGCTCTCTCTCGACTTGGAGAATAGAGCCACTCCTCCCACAAAGCATTCAATCATTGAGCCACCACAACTAGAGCTCAAACCACATCCACCGCACTTGAGGTATAAATTTCTTAGCTCAAATGATACTTTACCGGTAATTGTCTCTTCTTTGTTGAATGATGTGCAGGTAGAGCAATTGTTGAATGTCTTGAGGGAGCATAGGAAAGCTATTGGATGGACAATTGCGGATACCCGGGGGATTCCCGCCGGAATTTGCGAACACAAGATCCAATTGGAAAATGAGATTAAACCAAGTATGGAACATCAACGAAGGTTAAACCCTTCAATGCAAGAAGTGGTAAAGAAAGAAATAATCAAGTGGTTGGATGCCGGTGTAGTCTGCCCTATTGCCGATAGTTCTTGGGTGAGCCCTTTGCAATGTGTGCCGAAAAAGGGAGGCATGACCGTGATTGAAAATGGGAAGAACGAGCTCATCCCAACAAGAACGGTGGCCGGATGGAGGGTGTGTATGGATTACCGGAGCTAAATAGTGCTACATGCAAGGACCATTTCCCTATGCCTTTTATTGATCAAATGCTTGATCGGCTAGCGGGAAGGTCATTCTGTTGCTTCTTGGATGGATACTCCGGCTACAATCAAATCAATATCGCATTGGAAGATCAGGAAAAAACAACATTCACTTGTCCATATGGGACATTTGCATTTAGCCGGATGCCATTTGGGCTATGCAATGCTCCGGCCACTTTTCAAAGGTGAATGATATCAATATTCTCCGATATGGTGGAGGATTTCCTAGAGGTATTCATGGACGACTTCTCGGTCATGGGTGATTATTTTGAGCATTGTCTAGACAACCTTAGAAAAGTGGTTAAGAGATGTGAAGAAACGAACCTCGTGCTAAATTGGGAAAAATGCCACTTCATGGTGGACGGGGCATTGTTTTGGGCCACAAAATTTCCAAACATGGCATAGAAGTTGACCGGGCAAAGATCGAGATCATTTCCAAGATTCCTCCGCCTACTTCAGTTAAAGGTGTCCGAAGTTTCTTGGGGCATGCCGGATTCTAAAGGCGTTTCATCAAGGATTTTTCCAAAATTGCAAATCCAACGTGCAAACTCCTTAAGAAAGATGCGAAATTTGTGTTTGACGAGACGTGCCTCAAAGCCTTTGAGGAATTTAAACAAAAGCTCACCACGACACCTATTATTGTCACACCCGATTGGTCTCTTCCATTCGAACTCATGTGTGACGCCAGTGGTGTAGCTATTGGGGCAGTTCTTGGACAACGTCATAACAAGGTTCTCCATCCGGTCTATTACGCAAGCAAGACACTCAATGGCGCACAAATGAACTACACGGTGACTGAGTAAGAACTTCTTGCTATTGTCTATGCCTTTGAGAAATTCCGGGCTTATTTGTTGGGATCCAAGGTGATAGTGTACACAGACCATGCTGCTCTGCGCTATCTCATGGCAAAGAAAGATGCAAAGCCTAGATTGATTCTGTGGGTCCTGTTGTTGCAAGAATTTGACCTCAAAGTCAAAGATCGAAAAGGGACAGAAAATCAAAGTAGCAAATCAAGTCATGAAACTAAAGCTTCAAACTTTGCCTCTCTATCACAATTATCTCTCTTTGGTCATTCCTTCCAATTGAAAATGGGATTAAATTCACAACTCAAATCTCATGTTCTCTCACATTAAAAGAGAATTGCACACTCATAAATCTTAATTCAAAACAAAAATGGAATATCAAATGGAAAAATTCACTCTCTCTCACAATGATGTTCAAATGCATACAAGTAGTACCATAGGCTTGCCCTTCATGTATTTCTCCACTAATGTAGACAACTTGGTTCAAAATCAATTAGGACTTAAAGGGTTGTAGTTTAGGCTTTTGGTTAAGGTAGGGCACAATTTTGGTTAGAGTGACTCAAAAGCTCCCCAAGCACTACAAAATTTACAATCAAAGTCCACTTCCTTCAAAAAACATTCTCCATCCTTTCTTCACTTTTCATTCAACACCTAATCTTCCCTTTATTCACAACTTCTTATCATTTTATTCTATTTTTTTTTCTTTCCTTCCTTTTCAAAATCAAGGAAGGTTTCACTTTTTATCATTTTTTTTTTATTTTCTACCTTTCACCTTTTAAAAAACTTCCATATCACAAGTTTTTCAACCTTCACCCCCAAACTTAGGCTTTTAGCCTATGTTTACACTTTCAAAGTACTTAGGGAGGTAGTGTGCCAAATGCTAGATAAATAAAGAATAAAGGAATAAAGATTGTAACATTGTTGCCAAAGAACAAGGTGAAAGGCTCAAAATGGGTTGACTAGGGAAAATATTCAAGGGTAGGAAATTTAAGGCACAATGGCGGTCCAAGAAAGGCCTAATATTATTTTTCAAACCAAGTTAGTCTATGATTTTGCCTTGAAGCACATTCCGGGCAAGTTCTAGACTACAAGTAATGCAAAATAACTCACAATAAATCTCACCACGTATGGCACATGAACACTCAAGTGGAATACAAATCCAAAATCCAATTGAAACCAATGACTCAAAGAGGTTACATATAGCATAGGAAGCTATTTAGTGAATCAAAGAGCCAAAATTTGTGTCTAAAAGTCATGATATTTTTACATCAATTATTTTTCTTTTTTTCAACAACTAAAAATTCATATGCCGAGGTTTAAATCATGCTGGTACCAAGCAAGCCACAACTTGGTCAATGGGCACAAACCCCAACTCAAACCATTCATTCTTCCTAAATTAACATAAACTATATCTAAACTACAAGACTAATTCCCTTAAGAAAGTTGTCTATCTATCCATCATCGGGAAAAGTCGACAAAAATTTACTAACAATTACCCGGTTCAAGAAGAAAATTGGCATCCTTGGAAAAAGAACCGTGGTACAAAGAAAACCAAGGATATCGCCACTAACATAAAACATACTATATAAAAAAAATTAAGAAGCTAATAACCAAAATCAAGAAGCTAATAAACACAATAATATCACACATCACATGAAAATACAATAACAACAAAATGAAAACAACCAAAGTACAATCTCAACAGTTATCCACATTTATACAAGAATAACAGTTATACAAGAAGCCACCCCCCAACTAAAGATCATGCATTGTCCCCAATGCAACTAAACATGATAGAATAAATTGGTGGAAAGTGCTCCCTGAATACAGCATCAGATGCTCTCCTCGCTGTCTGACTCAGAGGCATCCTCCTCTCCTTCTTCCTCGGACCAATGAATAGGAACATCATCATCCTCTACCGGCCTGGTCGATGGCATTGCGTCTTGAGGCTTTAGGACTTTCCACAGCCCCTTTACACCTTTCCACATGCGAGTAAAGAATTTGTCTCTTTTCTTCTCTCTTTTCTTCATCTGGGTGTGTGCCTTTTCTAGAGAGCCATGAGATGTGCTCAACTCACCATGCGCCTTGGCCAGCTCAGTGTATGCCTTCTCTAGCATCCTAAGGTGATCCCCCTGCTTCTTCTGATCCTTAAGGTATTTTTGAAACTCTTTCTTGGAAATGTATGCGGGTCCCTCAGATGTTTCCCCAGGTCCCTGTGGAAGGCCAGCTACTAGCTCGCGGATTACCTGCATCTCCTCACTAAGCACAGCGAATGGTTCTCCTGCAGAAGATGATGGCTGACAACTCTGATCAACCTGAGAAAAAGACACAATCTTTCTCTTTTTACTCTTCACGGTGCCGTCCTCTCCTCTATTCTTCAACGGGTTTAGAGGCTTTCCCGGCTCTATCCAGTTCTCTCCTGGAGCTTCTTCCACACCAAAAAGTTGGCACAGCTCAGTGATAAGCGATGAGAATATCAATGATGCACTATTCTGGATCACATACTCCCTCAATTCATTGATGAATATTTTACCAAAATTCAGCTGAATACCATCAAGGATGCAAGCTATCATTTGAGGTAGGGCCCTGATCTGATCTCGTCACTACACGACCGAGGTTAGGCTTGGCACTTACTAGGTACCATTGTGGTGTACTCATGCCCTTCCCTACACATGTTTTTGGGTGTGCAGATCGAGGTGCCTCTTATTAGCCACATTATCAGTAAGGCGAGCCAGTTGTAGAGACTTCAAGGTATATCTGCCGCGTTCGCAGACCTCAGAGTCCCTTTCTACTCTTCCCCATGTCAAACACTTCCTATATTTCCTTTTGTTAGACTCTAGAGTATAGAGATACTATTTTCTTTCTGTAGTTTGTGACTCATGGTGTTTCGAGTTTTAGGCATATTGTGTATTTCTCAGTAATTGGTTATTGTACATGCCAAGCGGCATGGTATTCAGTTATGTTGTTCTGTTACAGTTGGTTGTTAAAATTATGTTATCATTTTTGTATACGGCGAAATCGGAGGGTCCAATTTCTCGTCACTTAAGGCAGTTCAGAAGATCACTTCGAGGCCTCGAGGCGACAAAGCTATGGCCGAGTCTCCTCCCTCGAGGGTCGTCGACACCCGACCCCAGGACGATGCAAGTCGCGACTATGATGAAGATGGGGAGTTTCCAAGGCGCACAGTTAGGGCTGACACGGCCTGGCAGGCTACTCTGAACCCAAATCAGGGCGTCAGTCAGCCGTCCCATCCCCATATCTCTGTAAATAATGTATTTTGCACTACACGGGGATTTCCCTCCTATATTAAGGGGATCCCTGTCATTATGTAATGTGGGTTGCTCCAATTACTCCATGCGAAATATAGAAGAATATTCTCTTTTCTCTCTAACATACTATCTCGATATTGTTGCTCTTGTTTATTATCTTCATACTTGTTCTTCATTTGTTTCTTATCATTGGCCATAAAGAGCCTTCGCTTATTGTTTTATAACTGTTAGCCCTTCCCCGATTACCCTTAA